CACTACATTTATGTTGGTTCTGTTCCATTTACGCTGGGGGGTTATTGCTGCTCTCCCTGCTCTCATCCACGCTAAGCTGCATGGATGTGGAGGGAGTTCTTGCCCAGAACAGAACCATACTGCCAATCCAAACTATATGCTAATTGTCAATCATCTTTGACGATAGCAGTCCTGACAGAAATACAGTAAAACAGCAATACTACGAAAAATTATATATTTTAAATGCAATTTATACCATGATGGCAAAGCTGAATTTTCTGCATGATTACTCCAGTTTTCAGTGTCACATGATCATTCAGAAATCAATCTAATATTATGCTTCTCAAGAAATATTTCTTATTATTATCAAGGTCGAAACAGTTGTGCTGCTTACTATTTTGGTGGAAACCATGATATTTCTGGATGAACAAAACGTTCAAATGAACAGTAGTGTTGAATGGTTGTGTATATACTTTAGTGTTGCTGAAAATATATGCCTATGTATTGCTATAATTAAAAGTAGTTGCATCTGCAGCAGGTGCCTTTATATTTACATAATTTAATCAAAACAAACTTATTTTACAGTTTCTTTTTGTATACAATATATGATATAGCAATCTTCCGGGGGGAAAAAATCATCTTTTTATATAATATACTCCATATATGTTGTAGCTAGTCAATTTAATATGTATCTTAAAGATTGCAGATCCTCGCAAGCGCCTGATGCTTATAACAACATAGAGTAAACTTCTGACACCATTCACAAACACAAAACCACTGAGATCTTTAATTCTGTCAAACAAATGTCACATTTATCAACTGCAACAGCATAACTGAGCCAAATACTTCCACGTCAAATCATACTGTAATTATTTACAGATCTATTTCAAATGAACAAATTAAAAACAACATGCGCAGCAAGTTAATCAAACAATGACCCTGAGGAAGACAAACTCACTGAAGCACATGACTGCATATTTCATACATTAATCCTAGAGGATGAAGATAGAAAGATACCACAGACCAACATCAGAGAAAACTGCTGAGGCTTACAGGTACACCTTTCTCATTTGCTTCACTGTCACCACACACTTTAACCATTACACAAACAGCCAACTAAACAGAACAAGGAAACTCTGCTTACTTACAAGTACACACTCACACACATGCAGTCAAGACAGTAATTCCCAGAGGTGGCAGTGATAGTATTAAACAGCATTCAGACTGAGCATCCAAACTCTCAGCATGCTCTTCAAATTCCTGCAGAGAGAGAGAGAGTGAGAGAGAGTGAGAGAGAGAGAAAGAGAGCGAGAGAGAGAGAGAGAGAGTGAGACAGATCACAGTGGAGTCAGCTGTCTTAACCGTGGCTTGTGTACTGCAAACACATATTCATCACTGTGTCTGTCACGAGACTCTGTTCCCCTTTCAGGCTCTGTCTTTACATTTATTTTGAAAGATGAAGCTCGCTATTATGGTAAGGGGCGTTACATTTCCGACGAGTGCTTGCGGTGTTCGGCCAATCCGCCGAGCTATTCACAAACCATTAAAGAATAGTCCGGAAAGTGCTGGAATTCCTGCCTACACAACTCAGCACATCAGAACAACCTTGACATGAAAACACAGCAGCCTGGAGAGACTTTGCCACTGAGCCATTTGACTGAAAAACAAACCTTGGAATCATTTTATCCTCCTATAATCATTTGTAAACAGAAAAGTGTGATTTGATGAACAGTTAAGTAGGAAACTGCTTTGATTAGTGATAGTAGCATGCAGTGTGTCAACAGTGAAAATCCTCTTAGTAATGAAGACTATTGTCTTAATTCCTAATGCTGTCTTATAGGGTCGGCAGATGCCGAGACACAACACACAATTGCTTATCGATAAAACACAGCTTGTGTTTAAATCACAATCATACAAGGCAATTTTTACGTTTATCCTCAATTTGATAATTAGTGAGTGGAGTATAATGATTTTTTTAGTGCTTTGTGTCATTTTGTGGTCTGCTCAACCTGCTTATTGTATTTAATGCTTTCTACCACCATATGGCATGTAGAAAGTACAAACAAAGCCTTAATAACAGAGTGAAGGACACACTGACTTTACAGTATGTCTCGGTACAGCTGAACATACATAAAGCAACACCACATGATTCCAGACGGAGACATATTCACACAAAGCAAGCAAAGTATAGACAGTGGACACAAAGTTCTATACTTTTTGCATATAATGTGTACACTGCAATGTAAACATTATAAAGAAATGCACTTTACAACTAGCAATGCTGACATAAGCTGTTTGAGTAACAAGGAGGGGAAACGGTTGTCTGGTATTGCTTTTATACAACAGCTCAATAAACAAAAAGTTAATATAGCGTAGCTCAACATATGTTTTAGATACAAAATTGCCAGTTACTTTGTTTTTGCATCACCAGTGAATGTTGTTCAAAACGGAGCAACAGTGGAAATGTTGCATTGCGTAGTGGTGTTTAATTCTAAAAGATTCAGTGTTCTTTAACAAATCAGTCGAGTAAATGATTCAAATGATTCAATCATTGAATGTAATACTTTTAATACATTTTAAAATACTTATATTTAACAAAGACACATTCATTTGATCAAAAGTGACAGTAATTAAGGAGCACAACTTTTTTCAACATTGATAATAATATGAAACTTTTCTTGAGCA